ATAATCAATGTAATTGAAGATCAGAGTTAATGAGGACCTCAGTGCCCATGTGGTCCCCTGAGCTACGCCAAGCTTCAGATGCTAGATAAGGAAACGATTGGGCTGAACTGAAAATCCATTTGGCTAATTAGATGATGTATATACCCACAGCCAGTGGGAGAAAAAATGTATATATATTTAAAAATAAGGAAAGATGACATTTTGAAGTTGAGATTTTGGCAAAGACTCATTTCAGAGTCATTGCTCTCTGGGGAGATTGATTTGAAGACAAAGAAGAATCTCAGAGAACTTAGAAAAAGATGGTACTTTTGATCCAAAGTCAAGAAAATAAAACAGGGGCTCACTGGAAAACTAGAGGTATATGAGACACGTGGAATAAGGCATTTTTATTCCTTTCCTGTGTATTTTTTTCTCAAAGTAATGCTAGAATTTACCCAGAGAGAACTGCTTGCCACTCTTTGACCTTATAATCTTTCTCTCTCTCCCTCCTCACCCTCATCTACACACACACACACACACACACACACACCCACCCCTTCTGAACCTCCAATATACCCTAAGTGCTATGGTGATTGCAGAGTTAAATAAGGCACTATCTTTGCTTTCAAGAATTACACAGTCTAGATGGAAGAATAAGAAAAGGGGATATAGAACACTTACGCTTTGCCTTAGATTTGCCATCTTGAATTTCCATCCTTCCTTCCTGGACTATAAGTTCTCAGTGGACAGACACCATATTATGATCATCCAGAGCCAAGGAACAGAACCTGGCACATAATAGGCGCTTTATTTGTTAAATGAGCAAATATATGAATGAATAAATGAATGAATGAGTCTATAACAGGGCATATATAGCTAGTTCAGTACAATACTTTGTTATTATTAGAGAGATGTAGAGGCATAGGAGCCTGGTCTGCAGGCGAGGCTTAAGGGACAAATGCCACCTCAACATTTGCCTAGTTGTTCTTTTTTTGCAGTCTTTAAGGTCTAGCTTAAAGGCCAACTCTTTAATCATTCCTCTGCAATCCCTCTTTTTCTTTTCCCTTATAGCCACTCAATGCCCATCCCTGGCAGGCAGTTCTTATTACACTTTAGGTTATATTAGATCTACCTGTACGTACATTTGATCTCCCTTGTTAATCTAGTCAGTCTGTTTTTCATTCTTTATGTCTATTTCTTACCCAAAGAGGAGTTTAATCATTGTTGGTTAAATGAACATGCAGATTAGGTCTTAATTGCATTTTGCACAGTTACTTCCCTTCTCTGATGTGACAACCAACCGCCTGCCACATGTCCTTCATACTGAGTCCTTCTAGCCTCTCTGTTTTAACCACCCACACCACAGGCTCATGGGGTGAATGAGAGCTCATGATAGCAAAGTTCAAGTTTTGGTTTGGAACTCAGGAGACTCTAAAGAACTAGTCTTGTATTCTGGCTCCTACGGGATGAAAATAAACTCTGGGATCAATGTGGAAGCATTCCTGCTCCCCAGTCCCATCATCAGGTGAGCTAAACTTTCCACTAGTCGAGCATGGAACTTTGATTTCATTATTTTATTCAACAGATATTTACCAAACTCCTAGTATGTGCAAAGCCTTTTACGGAGGGGTGCACTGATGCGTGCAGGACTAATGATGAGTAAAGACTGATGGATAAGTCATGATCTCTTCTCTGTAGGAAATCAATCTATCAGAGAAAGCAAAAGCCCTCCAGCACTCCAGGATACACACAGAAGGGGAGTGCACAGACAACCAGAGGCAGAGTGGAAGGACCAGGGAAGGCAGCTCTGCCTCACACCCACCCAAAGCCCCAGTTCTTGAGACAGTCTGGAATGATGGGCAGGTCTCAGTTTTGAATGCTGAAAAACCTGGGTTGAGTCTGTCTCTGTCAGTTTGCGAATTGGGACAAATCAACTTCTTCTTGAACCTCATGTTGTCTTTCTGTAAAAGGGGGGAGATACCTATCCTGCAAGGCTCTTACAAGGATTAAGATTCATCCCAAGGTTTGGACCGGGAATGCATTCAGAGAATAGTAACTCCCTTCTGCCGTTACACCAACCATGTATGTTGGTATGTATTATCTTTTTTAAAGAAGATGAGGATAACCTGCTTCTGAGTCAGTCACTTCCAAAGAGAATTGTATTTCTCATATTTGAAGAGATCTGTTAACTAGTATTGCACTCAGAGCTTCCAAGTTCCTAAGAAATCCAAATAGTAATCAAAATAGTTACAGCAAGTTAAGACTTCACCATGTGCCAAGGACTTAACATGCTGTAGTGGATGTTGTAACGCTGCATCCAAATCTCTCATTAGAACATAGGCCCTCATCCCCTCAGCTGCCTGGAATGTTGACAGTTGACCACTGTCTCTGAGTCTTTCTTGGAGAAATGCCCTCTGCTGAAAGGGACCACTTCACCAAGTTTACATCCCTTCCCCAGGGAAAACCCCCAGCCTATGGCTGGTTAATGTGGAGGTCAAAGGCCTGACACTGTTTTCTTGATTTGGAACAACTCTGAAGGGCCATCCCAGCTCCAGTGCTTCCCATGGGATCAGCTGAGGGCTTTGCTACAACTGCATGGAAAATTTAACTTCTCCTCCTGCCCAACATCACTTTGCTCAGGCCCTCACCAGAAAGCATCCCCACAAACCTCCAGCATGCCAGTCCCTGCCTGAGTCTGACTTCTGGTGAGCCTCCCCTAAGACAAATGTCTTGTCTCATTTAATCTTTACCTTTATTAACCCTGTGAAGGGGAAATTGATATCCACATCTTCCATACAATATGACTGAGGATTTGTTTTCTTGTCCCAAGTTTACAGAGCCAGTAGGTAGCATAGTGAAGGTCTGAACATGTCTTGCTGACTTTATTCTCTATGTCACTGCACTGTGTAGCTTTCTTAAAGTAGCGGGATTAGCCAAACTCAGCCCTGGGACACAATTCAATATCCATCCCTCAGTCTTTAGTGCGAATAAATACAAAAATTATCCATTTAAACAGCATGACTGTGCTTTTTTAAAAGAAAAATCGGTAGTTGATACTGATGTTCGGTGCTTTGCACAAGGACCCATGTGACGTGTTTCTGCTTGGGCTTAGTTCCAGAGGGAGAAAATATGGCTTTGGAGATAGATTTGCACATCTTCCCTTGCCAGAAATGTGAATTATGGCACCCAGCAGACTTCTCTTTTTGCTTTACCTGCCAAGGATTTTAAGGCCAACTTCAAGTGTGGTCATTTCCTTATCTCTGAGTCTGATGCTCTCTGCTCCTTACGCTTTTCAAACAGAGTCCTCCTTCATCCTCACCAAAACCACATTGTCCGCTGTGCTTTTACTTAGCAACTCATTCTGTAAGGTGATGCAAATCATAACATGTGCGTGAGTTAGAGACGATAACATTGCCTGCCACGCACATATCCTTTCCAGGGAATCTTAGATCCTCGGGTCAGCCAGGTAAGGTCTGGTGTGACCCTGCCGGTCTGGCCAGCGCACACTGGACCACAGCTGGGTACCAGAGCCCAGAGAAGCCTGACCATTGACTAGCTAGCGGGTCTGATCTGATCTGACAGAGAAGTTGCCGCCAAACCCATAGGATGCCTATTAACTGAGTCCCTCTTTGGAAAAGTGAAGTTGCAGACATGGAAAGATTTCGTTGGTTGATAGTGAGGTAGAGAGAAGCAAATACAGGGAGAGAAGCTGAGTCATGTTAATTTTGAAACAATTTAAGATCTCCTCCTGCTGAGGTCTCTAGGTCTGCCATAAATCTAGAACTTCTCTCCAAGTCCAGCTTTCTGAAACCTGGTCCTCTTTGAGCTCTTTTTTTTTTCTAACTTGCCATGTGAAATTCTGCCTTTGCTGTATTGCTACATACATGCACTCGTGAGCATCTACACCCAGTATGTAGCCACCCTGAATGGGCTTCTGTTCCTTCCCCCAAAGAATATACCTAACATATGTATGTACTCTATACATGGATATGTGTGTGTGTGTGTGTGTGTGTGTGTGTGTGTGTGTGTATGTTAAAGAGGAACATTTTAGAGTATAGATTGCAGAGTTAGGGTCTTTTGTTTGGCCTACATGAGCTTTCAAGAACAAGTTTAAACCATCATTTCCAAATTGGCCAATTACAATAAAAATCAAAATTTTCAGCCTCTCCTAGAGAAAATCTGGAGTTCTTGCACCACTGACCTTTAGACCCATTTGACAGGAGCTGGCTAGAGCCAAGGTGTGGCTGCTGCACTCTGACAGAGCCTGCAGCACCCTGTTCACCCCAAACCCCAGCTCTCCTTATTGCTTCCCAACGCTAAGGCATTTTCCATTCCATGAGTACTGCTTTTACTTTTAAAGATGCTACACATTTCTTTGAGTCTGTCTCTGTCTCTCTGCCTCTCTCTCTAATAGAATAAAACAAAACAGAAACACAAGCCAGACCTAGGGGCCAGGATGCTGTTTCCCTTCCCCTCAGCCGGTGTCTCCCATCGATGCCATCTGCCTGCCCCCTGTGGGTCATTAATGACTCCTGCTCCAAGGGGGATGCCTGGGTGACAATTTTTCTTTTAAATTTTAATATTTAATCATTGTTTACCAGGACAAATCAGGCACTGGCTAAGCACTTTATCTACATTAAATTATTTCACTTTCACAACCATGAGGTGGGTTCCATTAATATTCCTAGTTAGAGGTGATGTAGCCAAGGCCCAAAGTCAATGGCTGGTAAGGGTGGATCCAGGATTTGAACCCATGTCTCACTCAGTCTTAAGGACCTGGCTTTTCAGCACGAGGCTGACCTGTCTCTCGCGTGTGACTTGTCTCTGTCGGCTGCTGATTCCAGGACTGGCTCATTGTAAATGCTCTGTAAATGTATGTGGACAAGGAAGAACCAGGACCTGGGGTGGGGGGATGGCTTGTAAGCACCTGTCTCTGCTTTTGGTCTGCAACATCAGCAGCAAGACACCTATACCCTAAAATTGGGGAGAAAGTAGCTGTCTTTCTGTCTATTCACCCACAGGGAGCAGCTTTGTGGTGAGTGAAGGGAGCTACCTGGACATCTCCGACTGGTTAAACCCGGCCAAGCTGTCCCTGTATTACCAGATCAATGCCACCTCCCCATGGGTGAGGGACCTCTGCGGACAGAGGACGACAGACGCCTGTGAGCAGCTCTGTGACCCAGAAACCGGTGAGCCATGAGCAGGGCTGGGGAGGGAGGGAGAGAGGGTATGGCCTGAAAGATGGTCTGCACTCCTTCTGGAAGAATCATGGCTTCTAAGCTATTAACGAGTGGCTTTCTGTAAAAGTCCATCAGTCCCTTTGGTAATTAAACTCTGTGCTGCCATTGCCTGACAAGGAAGGAAGTTCTTGTAAAAACCGCAGCATCTCGGAGTTAGGAAGGACCACAGAGAACATCTAGTCCAACTTCAGCAAAGCAAAGTATCTGAATGTCACCAGACATCCCGGAGCTCAGATCCTGCCTACATTTTACTAGCTGGGTGTTAGTTTTTCTTCTTCATTGAACTATAATTGGCATATAACACTGTATAAATTTAAGATATACAATGTGATGATTTAATACACAGACATAGTGCAAAATAATTACTGCAATAAGGTTTGTTAACACCCCCATCACCTCGCATACTTACCTTTTTTGTGTATCTGGTGATATCATTTAAGATCTACTGTCTTAGGAGTTTTTCAAGATACAGTGCAGCATTGTTACCTGTTCACCATTCTGCACATTAGATCCCCAGAACTTATCTTAAATGGGGAGATATCGTCATCGGGTACAAACTAGGTAGACATTCTTTAGCAAGACACTTCCTGCCTCTGAGTTCCCGAGAATGAAAATAGTATCTCATCCACAAGCCTGTTGTTAGGAGTAAATGAGATAAAATATGGAAAGCTCCTAGTAGACTTATTTGTTCATTCATTTGACAGGTATTTGTTGAGTAGCCAGGCACGTTTCTAGGCATTGAGGATATAACAATGAAGAAAATAGGCAAAATCTCTGCCCTAATTAAGTTTATATTCTACGGAGACGTTAAATCTGCATTGCCTAAGAAGCTAGCCACTAGCCACATGTGGCTATTTAAGTTAATTAAAATTAAATAAATTAAACATTTCCTCAGTCATGTTAGCCATATTTCAAGCGCTCCATAGCTGACGTGATTAGTGGCTACCTCTTGGAGAACTCAGAGGTGGAACGTCGCCATCATCGCGGGAAGTTCTGTTGGACAGCACTACAACAGACAAACAGGTGAATGTATGTACTGTGTCAGAGGATGATAAGTGCTGCGGGGCGAGCACAGAGCACATGGGATGCTAAGCTGGGAGTGGGAGTGGAGTTGTTATCACACAGAGGGGGGTCAGGGAAGGCTTCTCCAAGATGGTAACATCTGAGCAGGCACTTTTAAGTTGGAGATGCTGGAAGCCATGCTGCTATCTGAGGAAAAAGCATTCTAGGCAGAAGGAACAGCAAGGGCCAGCACTCTGCAGCAGGAGCACAGGAACATGCCGTTGATTCAGCACTAGCAGGAAGACCGGTGTGCTTGGAGGGAAGTGAGAGAGGAGTTAGGAGAGAAACTTGACAAGCAGGAGGCTGGGGAGGGCGGGGCATGGGGGAGGTTGCAGGGCCTTATAAAGGACAAGAAGGACTCTGGATGTTACTCTGAGCGAGACGAGAAGTCATCGGAGAATTCTGAACAAAGGAGCAACATGATGTGACCTACATTTTACCAGGACCACTCTGGCTGCTGTGTGGAAAATCAGCTTAGAGGGCATTCAAGGGCACTGCTATTCTAATGTAGGCAAGCGTTGGTGGTAGCTTGAACCACAGGGGTTATGGGGAGAAGATGGTGAGAAATGATCCAATTCTGGATATATTTCAAGTGTAGATTTGACAGAACTTGTTATTGGTTGTGGAAGATGAGAAACAAAGAGGAGTCAAGGATGATTCCAGATTGTTCAGTCCAAACAGTGAGATGAATGGATTTCTCATTTATTGAGTAAGAGGTTCCTGTTGGAGGGTCAGGGCTGAGGTGGGGGAGGATCGTGCTATTTTAGACGTAATTTCAAAATGTCGAGCAAACATCAGGTAGAGATAAAAAATAAGCATTGGAATCCGGAAGTCTTTTCAAAGAAGAGGTCTTAGCTGGAGATAGAAAGTTGTGAGTCAACAGCATATAGATGGTATTAACCCAGAAGACACCATCTTATCTATAGTTAATGCTTAGTAAATGGACACTGTCTTATTCAGAATTTCTGCTCAATAAGTAGTGGATATTAATGTCCACAAACAGGGAAATAGTATTTAGAGGGAAGAAGAGATTTGCCAAGGTCACCAATCAAGTTAGAAGTGAAGCTGGGATTAAAACCCCAGTTCTCCTAGCTCCCAGTCCTCTGTTCTTCCCAACAACTTATATGGGCCTATTTTCTCTGGAACTTAATCCCTCTCTCCGTTAACAAGATTCTGGCCATCTTGCTTGGAAAGCCCACTGCACTGATGCCCTGGGGAAGCCTCTGTAGACCTGAGGGGTCTCAGTGGCTTAAGTCAAAAGTGTGCTTTCTCTACCCAAGTTCTCTCCCACTTCTCCAGGGGGCAGAAGCTCAGGAGTAACGAGAGGTTTACCCTTGTGTCTCGGCAGAGTCAGGAAAAGATTTGCCTTTTAAACCATCGTTCTCTTGGGAGCCTGTTCAGTCACATTTTTGCAGCCTTTACGTAGGCCTATTGGGGAAGCTATTTAGAAAACGCAGTGCAGCTCTGGCGTACCATTTGACCAGATAGCTGAATCTTCTTTCTCTAATTAAAACATTTAGACTTTAAGGCATTGTCACCCTAAGCAGTATCCCTTTACCCCCAACACATACACAGACATGCACACTCTTGATTATCCTCATGCAACAGCCAGGAAAGCCTTTGTGAAACTCTGTGCTCCTGGATCTGGTTCTATAGACTATCCTTTTTGCTTTTTCCTTCCCTTAAAAAGTAGGCAAGATTGCTGGTGGGAGGGAACAGAAGAGGTTCCCCTGCTTTCCTCCCTCCACGAAGCCCCAGCTCGGCAGAGTGGCGCGTGTCTGAGGGTCTGACCTGCTGATTTCCCAGCTGATCTGCCTTCAGGTGCAAGGTCATGGTTTCTGATCATCTTTCTGATTAGCTACAGGCTTGCGGACATAATTCCAAACAGTGGATCATTCAGGGTGCAAGCATGTATTAGCCAGTTCAACAATGATCAACTTTCCCACCAGTATCCCCTAGAATTACACGCACAGACACACACAGACACACACAGACACACAGACACACACACACACACACACACACACACACACACACACACACACACACACACACTCTTATTGCTTAGAGCTGGAAATATCACTAGAATCCACTCTCTTGACCTTCTCAACTTTATCACTGGTGATACTGATGCCCAGAGAAGAAAGGTGATCCAGGGCCAAAGTCACACAGCCAGCAGGTAGCAGAGAACGTCTTCAAACTCGGGATCCTGTGCTCCTAACCAATACTTCTCAGCCTTTTATAGATCTAAAGTGAGGCCCAAGACTCTGGAATTCTACAAGGCTGTCAGCTGTTGCTAACGCTCCTGACCTAAGGACTAACCTTGATACAACAAGGCTCTGAGCACTCTTATTCCCAAACACTCCTCTTGTGTTCTAAACAAACAGTGGGAGGCCCAGCTGCCACATTTATTAATTTATTTTTCTTGATGAAACCATGCTCATTTTTATCACTTCCTCTTCTGCCTCTATTTGCCACATCCCGTGGGCTCTTGGTGCACTGATACCTGAAGTTTCCTGAAGGCACCGTGCTTTCTCATGCCTGCATCCCTTTCATGGGCTGTTTCCTCCCCTTGAAATGCCTTTCTCTTTCTTTTGCTGGGAGACCAGGGCTCTTTTTACCCCCATTTCATTCAGCCCAAATGTCCTTCCTCCTAGAGGCATCCGTGACTCACCATCCCCAGCCCTGACCAGATTAAGGGTCTTCCTCTCTGCTCTTATGGGTTCTGTGCTTCCATGTGTCATAGTCCTTGTCCCTGTGCAGAGTCACTGTAGTTTCCTTGTCTGGATGAATCACCAGACAGTAAGCCTTGTTCAGGGCCGGGGAGAGGGATTCAACACTTGTATCTTACTTATCTGTGTATCTTTCAAACTTAGCATAATGCTGACATATAATTGGTTCACAGAAAGTAATGAAGGGAAGGAAGGAGGGAGGAAGGAAGGAAGGAAGGGAATTTCCCTCCTCATGCTCCTTGAAAAAATTTTATTCATCAATATTCAGTTCCTTCCTCCGTATCTACTCACCTTTAAACTCAGATTAAATATTTTCCAGTGCTAGAGAAATTGGGTCACCAAGAGCTGTCCGGTGGCCAGACCAGCTAGAGTGCTCTGGTCTCACCCTCCCATCAGCCATACCCCTAAAACATTCCTCTTTGCATTCTCCTCTCTGCTCACATTTGCATAGTCCCCCACCCCAACCCCAGACATCCCATGCAAAGCTTTACCTTCTAACTGGAGTTCAGGCTCCTCCCTCTACCTAAAATTCCTTCCATCTTTAATTGCATACTTTCCAAAATCCTATTTGATTAATTACCTCTCATTTCCTCTCGGGAGACTGGATGACTTCTATGGTATCGTTAGGGTTCTCTGTTGACTAAAAATTTGATTAAAACTTGAATTATTATTTGGAAACTTCTCTACCCTGCTAAAATGTAAGCTGCTTAAAGCTTACTACTGTATCTAATTTATCCCTGTGTTCTTCCCACCCCGGTGTTCAACAAAGCACCTTGCTCTTACAAGTCACTCAAGACATAAATGAATGGAACTATCTACAGATGAGGAGTGGAAATAGGAACATAAGTTTCCTGACTGTATTTTCATGGGGCTTGCCTCAGACCCACTTTGCAAAATTTATTTCAGTTTGTTAAATTCATTCAAGCTAGATTTTCTTAATTCCACATCTCATAAGTCACTCATAACTCATGTGTGTTAAGTGCTATGGGAAATCACAGACAAATTGGACAATGTTCCTGCCTTCATGGGCTTCGCATTTTCACAGGGATAAAAATAATCTGCTCCGATGTAGCTATTATAAAAGACATAACGTGGAATAAATCAAGAACAGGCATTTATAGAGCACCCGGTGCCTGGAGAAGAGGGAGGAATGTG